AACATGCCGCGAAAGCATCTCCATGTCATCACCCGGAACTCGTTTAGTCGACGCCTACGCAAGGTCGAGAACCGCCTGGATCAAGAACAACTAGAACAGGTCCAGCTCGCGTTCAAGAACAACAAGCTCTCGCCATCGGTTACTGCACTGGATAACGTGATCACATCTCTCTTCACTGACCTCGCCGCACCCTCCACACACATCACACATCACGCCAACAACATCGACAAGCTGAAACATGTTCATTCTTCTGTTAGACGAGCCAGTAGAAAGAAGGACACCCGGATCGGTGCACTTGAGGACGAGAACAACGACATGTTTGAAGAGCTTCGCCACAAGGATGCGGAACTCGACACGGCTTTAACCAACGCAGCTGACTTGACCGATGACTGTCAACGATCGAAGGTGCTACTGCAAAAGGTGACCGCCAACAAGTTGAAAATCGAGGAGTCACTACGCCGATGTAAGATTGAGCTGCGACGGGCTGATGTCAACCACACCACCAGTTCCGGAAGAGTGGCGAGACTCGAGGACCAGATCCAGCTTATGCGTCAGTCCACACAAGAGGCGAACGAGCGAGCCGACGCTATCGAGGAAGAGCTTCAGGATGTCAAAGGTCAGATGAGTGGTCTGGAACGCGAGCGTGCAGACCTTGAGACTGAGCGCCATCAACTTCAGACGAAGTTGAATACAGCCAAAGAGCAGTTGAACGGTGAAGATGGTCTCGAGAAGAAGACTCACGATCTGGACGCTGCCCACGAGCTCGCTCGCCAGCTCAAAGATGAAATCTCGGCTCTCAAAGAGCAACACGCAGATGTCGTCTCCAACAAGGAGAAGGACCTGAGAGAACTCAAACAGCTAAACAGGGACGCTATTTCTCGTAAGAGCAAGGAGATGCAGGAGCATCGTAGGAAGTATCAAGTCGCTCTCTCAACCAAAGAGAAGAAGGATGAAGGCTTGCGCAACGATCTCGCTGCTACAATCAACGCCAAAGATGCGGAGCTCGAAAGATTACGCGCCGAACATGCTGTCGCCATCACCGCTAAAGATAGGCAGCTCGAAGCCAAACACCAGTCTGAAGCTGCGATCATCACTCGCCATGGAATCGAAACGCAAAAGCTTCGTGAAGAGGTCGATTCGGTTAAGCTTCAAAAGGACAACAAAGTCAAAGAGCTTGACGCTCTTGTATCTAGCCATGATGACGCAATGCGTGAGCTTCGTCAACAGCTCGATTTGGTCACTCGGCAAAAGAACGCCAAAGCCCAGGAGCTGGAAGATTCTCGCACCAAGCACATCGCTGACGTGGCCGACAAGGAGAAGGAGTTTGACGACATCGTATCTCGCCATGAAAGCCAAATACAGGAGCTGCGCAAAGAGCTCGATCTGGCTAGGGACCAAAAGGCCGATGAAGCTGAGAAGCTGGAAATTTCACAGGCCGAACTTGCTACCGCGATCAATCTCAAGAACGCAGAGCTGCAGGAAGCACACTACGAACTCGCCATCGCCATCTCTGGCAAGGAATCAGAGATTGGCACACTCAACACCAAACACGTCGCTGCCATCTCTGGCAAGGAATCAGAGATTGGCTCACTTCACACCGAGCACGCCGCTACTATCGCTCGCAAGGATGCAGAGCTCAAGAAAGCCCACGACGACTACGCCATCGCCATCTCTGGCAAGGAATCAGAGATTGGCTCAATCCACACCGAGCACGCCACTGCCATCTCTGGCAAGGAATCAGAGATTGGCTCACTCCACACCCAACACACCGCTGTCATAGCCCGCAAAGATGAGGAGCTTGAAGCACTGCGTAAAGACCTCGACATGGCCAAGCTCAACAAGCAACCATCCTCAACCGATGGTCTGAAAGTCCTTGTCGATTCACAGCAAGAGACAATCCTTTCCATGACAAATGAGTGGAATGCAGTCTACGGCATCATCGAAAACGTCAACATGTGCCTGCCATCCGTCCTGAAGAGGTTGGGCAAGCCTTTGAACGATCGCCTTCCAGAGATAAGGGCCAGAATGCGACGCGACTCTGAATGTAAGCTCAGAATATTCTTTACCAAAATACCCCTACTAATTAATTGATAGTCAGGCCTGCGGAGCACCTGGGTGACCTTGAGACTGCGATGAAGATACGTCGTGGACGGTATGAGCTGGAAGGAACGTTCGATCACCAGTGGGAGTTCTTGAAGAAGTTTGTTCCTGCACTTGTGGAGGCTCATCCCGACGTCAAAGAGCTGGCTAAGGCCATTGATGGCACTTTTGACCGGCTTGAGGAGCAGGTGGTCCAACCCACCAAGGCGCCTACAATCGCGCCCGCCCCAGCGAAGGCGACCCCAGAGAAGCCCCCGAAAGATACATGTGCCTGCAAGTATCGTTTCTTGGTGACGGATAGCCAGGATGCCTGCCGCGACCATCTCGACGGGTGCGATGACTTCGCGAAATGGACCCCCGAGAAGAAGAAAAGCCTTCTGGGTAAGCTCGGTTTGACTGGCTACCAGCAGCCGAAGCAGACAAAGCCGAAGGCAGAGTCGATTACGTGCTGGCACTGCGAGCGTGAATTCGACAAAGCACACGGGCAATGGTTCCACGGCTCTCATGTCAAGGTAACATTATCCTAAACAATATCTATTCAGTGCATTGCTAACATACATGCGTTCTAGGTCTGCAAAAGGGGCGCCCCCAGCTTCGATGATGTCCCCGGCTCGAGCACACCAGGACCGAAGACTCCCGTCACCACACCTTCCAGACGCGCCCCCGTGATCGAGCACGGCTGGCAGAATACCGGGTCAGCGAAGAAGGCAGAGACATCAGACTTTGTTTCTAGTGGCATGGGGAGCAGCAAGTATGCGCGCCGATAGATTCTACAAGGCTCTAGGTCCTTGGCCCGTGGAAGGGAGCAAGGACATTGAGTAGAAAGAAAGAGACGGAGACTATACCAATCAGTGCGACACCACTAAACTGGGTGTCGTCATTGATGGCGAGGTATAGGACGGATACAGTGCGATGGAAGACGATGATCTTGTTGGATTGTTTTGGGTTTGCGATGGCGTTGATGGAGCAGTTAGTGTTTCGATACCCGTAGGATAATCTCAAAGTTTGACAGCACACACCGGTAACAAAGCCTATACAAATCAATAGTTCAGGTACCTGGGATTCCGTGACTTTGGCTACAGCAGTGATGAGGGTATCGGTGTCTTCCTGGACTAGTGCGTTGTTCGATTGGGATCTTCGCGCACTCTAACTGCAAGATGCTGGTATGCGAGGCTGGTTGTCAGACCTCTGCACTGCATTGGGCGGTAAGAGCATATTCCGTTGAGTAGCTTCTCGTCGTTAGGTAATGGATGTCAGGTTGGCCGCATCGAGCACTGGCGGTGAACAAGAACATTGTGCGCAGCTCTTTGCACTCAAGTGGGCTCATTGAAACATACTGAGTGGTCGTCTTCTTGTCGACAAGTACCGAACTGGCAAGTGCGGCTCCAGCCTGTCAGGCAAGCTGGCGTTGGCGTTGCCAGGCCGAGTCACGACAGCGAAGAGCCACGGTGACTATGACTCCACTTCGACTGTCTGGACGCATGGAATAGGCTTCTTCGCAGTGGAGACGCCGCTGGGAATGGTCTCGAAACGAGAATAGGGGACACCCACGACGCAGGTCCGCGGCTTTCTGCGAAGGTAAGTTCCGCGTTCGATAGACCGGCCAGTCCATCTCGTCACGTTGTCACAAATCTCGTCATCAGCACCAGTCTTTCCAAGGACGAAATCGAATCCTAGCAGCTGGAATGCGATTGGCGAAACATCCAAGCATCGCCATATCTGGGTATGATGGCAGATCTCCAGGGATCCAGAACCGTAGCATAAACTTATTTGTTTGTTTGCAACGGACGACAGGGTCTCCGAACCCCAAAAGGGATGTGCCAGAAACGACGATGCGAATGTTGCCGGGTAGTTAGTAAGGAAGAGGCTCATGCGCAATTAAAGCTTGAGTACTAGTCGGGCAGTCCTAGGCCAAAGTCGTCGGTCGGCAAGCTCAGGTACCACTTCAAACTCTATGGCGCACAGGCCGGGTCGCTTTAGCCGGCTGCCGCGGTGTACCTGGACAGAGGTAAGCATTGTGTAGCTATTTTCGATGCGACGTCTCTTCGTTATCGCAGCTGCTGATGAGAATCTCCGTTGGGAGAGGCGGACGATGACGGATGTCAGTCGTGACGGTGCTGGTGGTGGCTGAAACAAGCCTAGCGGCACTCCTGGAACGGCGGATTCCACCACCTAACTGCAGCCAAGATAGCCGACCTCACGAACTCCTGCTTGCGCTACCACCCACATCGGTGTGCGACTCGACGACATCACGAATAAAGGATGCGCTAATGCTACTATTTCCTCCTCGAACGACCCGAGCTCAGCCCACTTTAGTTTCAAGGCCGCAAGGCTGCACATTTGCACGGTGCGGAGAAGCCAGGCTAACCTTCCCTCCCTGCGCACATCGGGGCATCTCCCGCAACTCTAACCTGCTTTACCCTCACTCTACCCTGCGCAGCTCAGGCATCTCCCGTCTACCTGCCGTCGATCCCGCAGCAGATAGCGTGAAACAGACAATCTAGACAACCCTTCATCACTCTTTCAATAGAGTCACTATGTTTCGAAACGAAGCTACTGTGAGGCTCGCCACCATCATGCTCAGGGGCCAGTCTGGTCACTGACTACGGCTGTCTACTACCTACCAAAGGTCTACCATGCGACTCAGAACCCTCGAGTATAAGACCCCATGTTCCCAGCGCCAAAAGTAAAAAGGCATCAGCTTTGATCTCATCTACTTCACACTTTCGCTTTCAGCAACCAACAACACTTTCGTTACTACTACTACTCGACTTTATTAGTCCTTACTATCGTTTGTGCAGAGCACTTCACTTCTATCACATTTTTACTCGATCTCATATCGCCAATCGTCCAATACTCGACTTTTCGTCAAACATATCAATCAATCAACAACAGCAAACATGAAGTTCCAAATCGCTCAGGTTCTTGCTATCGCTAGCATCGCTACTGCTCTCCCTACCAACTACGGCTCCGGCTCTGGCACCACCCCAGCTGCTCCCATCACCACTGGAACTTCTCCCAGCTACGGATCTGGCTCCAGCTCAGGCCCCAGCTACGACTCTGGTGCTTCCGATGAGACTCCCAGTAGCGGCAGCGGTGGAAAGCCCAGCTACGGCGGCGGCATCGGTGCCGGTCTTCCTGGACTCGGTGGCTCTGCTGGTGGCAAGGGCGGCCTCGGTGGCATGATCGGTGGCTTCATGCCCGGCGGCGGCAAGCTCCCTGGCCTCGGTGGCTCTGCTGGTGGCAAGCTTCCTGGCATCGGTGGTGGCCTTGCCATTCCCGGCATTGGCGGCGCTGCTGGTGCTGGAGGTGCTGCTGGTGGCAAGGGCGGACTCGGCGGCTTCGGTGGCCTCATGGGCGGACTTGGCGGCGCTGGCAAGGGCGGACTCGGTGGCCTCGGCGGCCTCATGGGCGGAATCGGCGGTGGTGCTCACGGCGGTGCCAACGGCGGCGCTCACGGAGGTGCTGGTGCCGGTGTAGGAGGAGGAGCTGGTGCTGGTGTAGGAGGAGGAGCTGGTGCTGGTGTCGGTGGCTCCGTTGGCGGAGGTGCCCACGGCGGCGCTGGTGCTGGTGTTGGAGGAGGAGCTGGTGCCGGCGTCGGTGGCTCAGTCGGTGGTGGAGCAAACGGCTCTGTCGGCGGTGGTGCCAACGGCGGTGTTGGTGCTGGTGTCGGCGGTGGTGCATCTGGATCCGTCGGTGGAGGTGTAGGCGGCTCCGTTGGAGGTGGTGCCAACGGCGGCGCGGGTGCTGGTGTCGGTGGCTCTGTTGGAGGTGGTGCTTCCGGCTCTGTCGGAGGTGGCGCTAACGGAGGTGCTGGTGCTGGTGTCGGTGGCTCAGTCGGTGGTGGTGCTGGTGTTGGCGGTTCCGTCGGCGGTGGTGCCAACGGCGGTGTCGGTGCTGGTATCGGTGGCGGTGCCCACGGTGGTGCTGGTGTTGGTGCTGGCGTCGGCGGCGGTGCTCACGGTGGTGCTGGTGCCGGTGTTGGTGGCTCTGTTGGAGGCGGTGTTCACGGCGGTGCTGGTGTCGGTGCCGGTGCTGGTGGTAACGCTGGTGCTGGTGTTGGCGGCTCTGTTGGTGGCGGTGCTTCCGGATCTGTTGGCGGTGGTGCTGGTGCCGGTGCTGGTGGCTCTGGCTCAGTTGGAGGTGGTGCTTCCGGCGGTGCCTCTGGCTCTGTTGGAGGCGGTGCTTCCGGCTCTGGATCTGGCTCCGGCTCCGGCTCCCACTACTAAGTGGTCGTAGCTGAAGCATCACGCATGCTTCTTGTACATTAGACTCTGGATTGGACGAACGTTAGGATTCGAGATATGACTTTTAATTCATCACTTTACTTAAAACCTTTACTCTTTTGCACCTTTACCTTGATCTTCTATGTTTCTTGACTCAGACGAAGCAATTCTTTCTATCAACAATATTCATATTCTCAGGCAAGGGGCAGACTCAGAAACAACACAGCTCCGTCATTGCCACTGAGTCGGACCTTACTCCAGCATACCCAGCACAGCCTCCCAAGGCCTCAACTCCAGCTTCCCACTCTTCGCCTTCTCATCCAATTGCCTCTCGTCATAGTTACCAGCAACCCACTTCTTCACTTTCAGATCACCCATCTTCTCCCATACCATCTGCTCTCCACTGAAATTCAGCACAGTAATAAACGCATTCTTCTCACTCCACCGCCGATACGCAACGACCTTCTGATCTTCCATATCAAGCATCTCGAAATCACCGTACACGAAGACGTCCTTGTTCTCCTTGCGACACTCGAGACCACGCTTCCAGAATGCGCGCACGGAGAGCATACCGGGTGAAGGTTCGGGGTTTGCGAGTTGAGCTGCGGCGTTGATGCTGGGATAGTCGTCGTTGACGCGCATCCAGGGTTTTCCGCTGGTAAACCCGGCTTGGGCGGATGAGTCCCATTGCATGGGTGTTCTGGCGCTGTCGCGAGCTTTGCGTTGCTGTATAATTAAGAATAAGTAGTCAGCTTATGTCTCATTTCCTATCATACACACTGGGCTTACCATGATCTTGGCTGCTAGGGCCTGCTTTTCAGCATTGCCGGGGTAGAGGTCGCGATACTTCTTGAAGAAGTTTATGCTTTCAATGTCCTTATACTCCTCGGGTTTCCACTCCTTAGGCACGTTGCGCATGCCAATCTCCTCGCCTTGGTAGACATACAACGTCCCAGCGAGGGTAGTTTGCATCAAGCACAACAGCTTCGCGCCATACTCGCGCCACCGGTCGCTGTCATCGGTGAACCTGCTTACACTCCGAGGCTGGTCGTGGTTTTCCACGTAGAGCGAGTTCCAGCCGTCGCGCTCGAGCATCAGGCGCTGTAGCCTGTTCACGATCTTCTTCAGGTCTCGCGCATCCCATGGTTGTAGGGTGTACTTGAAATCGCCCGGTACATTGTCGATGTCGACCAAGTCGAAGACAAATATCATGTTCAGCTCTTCGTTTTCGGCACCGACGACTTTGATGACCTCGTCATCATCGCGGACGAATGGCATTTCTCCAACAGTGAGCGTGTCGTATTTCGAGAGGACATCGCGCCGAAGTTCCTTCAACCACTCGTGTAGTCTTGGGCCGTTGGCGTAGTATTTGTCACCAGGCTGGTACTTGTTGTCTTTGACCGAGATGGCCGCATCCGGGAACGTCTGAACCTTCGATATCATGTTGATCACATCCATGCGGAATCCAGAGACACCCTTGTCGAGCCAAAAGCGCAGAATATCATGTACGGCTGCGCGCACATCGGGGTTTTCCCAGTTGAGATCCGGTTGTTCGGGCGTAAAGAGGGATAGGTAGTACTCTTGAGTCTTCTCGTCCCAGGTCCACGCAGAGTTGGCCTCTCCTAGGATCTGCGCCCAGTTATTTGGAGGCAAGCGATTTCCGTCGGCATCGTACTTCGCAGGCTTCCAGATATACCAGTCGCGTTTCGAAGACTCCTTGGATGAACGCGAGTCCAGAAACCATGCGTGCTCTTCCGATGTATGGTTGACGACAAGGTCCATGACGAGTTTCATGTCACGCTTTTTGACTTCTTTGATGAGGTTGTCAACGTCGGCTAAGGTGCCATAGCTGGGATCGATGTCCTCGTAGTCTGCGATGTCGTACCCCATGTCCGCTACAAAAGGTCAGTATGTGCATGGCATACATTTTGAACATCCAGGACTTACCTTGTGGGCTCTTGTAGATTGGCGATACCCATATCACATCAACACCGAGGTCTTTCAAGTAGTCTAGCTTTTGTGTGATACCAGGGACGTCGCCCCAACCATCGCCATTGCTGTCTAGGAACGAAGCAGGGTAGATCTGATATCGGCGTCAATGTCTGCATCGGCATAATGGTGAGTCGTTCATACCTGGTATACCACCGCTTCTTTCCACCAGCGGTGCTTGTCAGTTCCGACATACAGGTCTTTCTTTTGCGACATTCTCGAAATTCTACCCGATGAATAGAGGCGTGATGTCGTGAAGTTTCGTCGTATTTAGCATTGCGAGATGCGGTGCATAGTGGTTCACGTCATAGCCGTATGTGGGCCTAGCCAGTCGCGATGGCCAACAGATGTAGTGCATCTCAACGCGTGGGTGTCTACGTGGGGCGCGTCACCCTCCCGATGTCGCGGGGTAGCCGTTGTGCCGACACCCAGCCACTCAGACGGAGAGACCTAACTCCCCATGGTATTCTCCATTTCGATGCATCTTCAGATGTGCTTTCAGCAGCAACGTGCATCGTAGCCTAGTGTCATTCGCGCAATATGGTAGATACTGTGAAGATCGCGTTGGCTGGCGTAGCTCACGCGCCAAAATACGTCACCAAGCGGCTGCACGGCTAGGCACGCGACCTCCTACCCTCCACAGAAACCGGATGAATGCTACCGTGCAACACGTACTTACAGCAACACTCCATGTTGCCCTCGTGTTCTTAAAGCTTTAGGAACCCCACCGAATCCGGTCCGATAACACCAGCGACCAGCTAACACTGAACCCACGAGAGCTTCAGGAGCTATGACGTACGACAACGACGCTGAGGAAAGAGGCACGTCCGGCTCGCGGACCCCACTTCTGGGGAGGTCAGCCCATCAGAGGATTGGACAGGAGAATGAAGGCCCTAGGTGGACCTTCACGAGTGTGCTACAGTTCTTTGGTGGCGGCATCTATGCTCCCGACTCCACCACGTATGACCCCCTGGAGATACTGCTCAACACCGAAGACGCAGACGAAAAAGACGAACTCACCACGTTATGGCGAGACAACAAGCTCAGTGAGCTCAACTTCGTCGGTGTGGTGGTAAGTCTCCGAACATCTCTTTTCGTGGTTAATACACTCGGCGCCGTGCCTTCCACATGGCGCATGCTTCACGCCGAATCGTGACAAGGCTAGCACGGGCACCATCCGTTGTGTTGGCTTTCCTCAATCAATATCAACGCTGTCGATAGCATCCGACATGCTAATACATGACAGGCCGCCCTTTTAGCTGGCGTTCTCACATCCACCGGAAGCTGGCCGAACATCTTGCCAAATGGGAAAGAATCGCCATGGTCTGTGCGCACATCATGGTACTGCGGTATCATATTGTCGCTTTTCAGCATCCTTACAGCTGCTGATCAGACCGTACGACTGCACCGCCTTTCATCACATCGCGATGGGCTGGCCAATATTCGAAAACTGATTGCCAAGACGAATGGCGAGAAGAGCCACTCATCCAAGACTGGACGTCGGACACCTAGCTTGCTACAAATCGTCACATGGCAAATGCCAGTGATGTTTTTGACCTCCGCTACTGTCTGCATGGTCGTTGGAATGTTCTTGCACGTCTGGTCTGCCACCACACACCTGCACCATCCAACACTGTGGGACGATAACACCAAGGTGCGTTCGTATGACATCCGTTCTACATAATGTTCTGACTCGTCCAAAAGGTTGCCGTCACGTTTAGTACTGTCGCCATTCTCGCAATGACGCTGTTCTTCGTCGGTCAGATCTCGCTTTACTCTCCTATTCGACAATGATGTCATACCCACGGACAAATGTTGAACATATCTGGAATTTTGGGGGAGCCCATACTCGGCTTAGGCCTTCGAAGGCCTTCCTTCATACCACTATAAAGACGATTTTCAGCGATTTGGTTCCAATTCCACGAGTGTATCTTCATTACTCGACTACTAGCAACTCCCATTCTGATTGTCGTGCTTGCGCTGGCCTCCGCAGTGTCGTTTGCTCAGTGCGCCTGACCTAATCACGCAATTAATTCAAGGGTATAAAGCGACGGAAAGAGCCTCCCTCAAGACTTTTGTCGCCAGTCACTCTGCGGTTCGTCAAGCTAAAGTATTATTTAACGCTCATGCTCACCTGTTTCACTACTCGAACGAATTGCCCTTCGTCATTGCGGGGTTTCCCCTTCTACAGATAGGGCTTGGCTCGCCAACTCCCACGCGACTAATACAAATTTCCATATTAGCTCACCGCATCTGTTCTATACGTTGCTCACAGACTCAACCACGACCTTTATATCACAACGTCTTTCCCCACACCAGCAAGTTCCTATATACAATCCGCTCAAGCAACATCTCATGGCGACGGTATCAGCAGCGGGCTCGTACGAGCAGTACAAGCTTGATACCAAGCGCTTCATCTTCTGGCTCATTGACACTGCGAAGAAGCGGGACTACGACATCGCTGATCCAGCCGAAACCCAGCAACCCTCGAGACGGCTGAAAGGCCAAGCGAGGAAGCAAGCAAAGCAAGTGACCAACCAAGCGACCGCGTCGAAGACCAATTACGTTATCTCGACGGAAAAGATCCTCGACTTGGCGAAACATATCGCAGACCATGAGGAGACCTCGACAATGCCCAAGTTTGTTTGGTACTCCTACAAGCGGGCTGTGAGAACGCGCCAGGCCTACGCCGACCGCTATGCCCAGGAAGAACTGTCGGAGACGGCTTCGGACGATGGCCACATCTACTTCCTGTGGCTGTTGAAACACTGCCACACGATCCTAAAGAAGAAGATCGCAGTGCAGGCGGTCAGCCGACCGGAGACTGCAGCACCTGCGCAACTTCGATTCAACATCGCGACTGAACCGACATCAGCGCCATCTCTCCTTCCGGTACCTGGATCCGCACCGCAGGCTGTTGATAATAGTCAGAAAACCACACCGGAAGAAATCACCGCCGCTGAGGCCGAACGAGAAGCAAAAGGTCACAAGCTGGATGAGCTGGCTCGGAAATTTGAGCTCGACATGAAGGTGAAACAAGACGCGGAGGCTGAACTCGAAACGGAGAGGAAAGCTAAAGAAGAGATCGCTTTGAGGAAGTCTTGTCTGGCGGACGATATGCGCATCATCGTCGAGCAGCTGGAGTCCGACTGGAACGACACTCACAAGACTGATGACGACGAGAATTACTTGGATGAGACCCGAGCTACTCTCATGACGGAAGCTGCGTTCCACCTCATACGCCACACAGAAGAGGCCCTGGTGAAAGAAGCTCATGAGAAAGGTCTGCCGCCATTTGATCCCTCTCTCGATGACGATGACTTCTTCGGCAAGACGTCGAAAGCGCTCAGAAAGATCGAGGCGGAGCGACGTTCACAACCAGGAGAGTATTTGTTCTTCGCTTCACGGTCGATCATTCAAGATGATGTTGCGAACCGACACACGAACGAGGACTACGACTTCCTAGTACACTACTTGTTTGAAGCCGCACTGGAACCAGTAAGTCTTCCTCGGTCCACCAAAAGTCTGATCCATATCCACACTGATTACTGACCATTGTATAGCAAGCCAGAAGGTCACATGAGGAACAGTACCAGATGCCACTACTAGCAGGATCATTAGACGCTCTGTCTCGCGCGTACGGTTCGCTGGGTTCTTTCGGCTTCATCTCAATGGTTTTCATATTTGCCGCCGAGTTGATGATCAGAATTCGAACGAAAGACCAAAACCGTTCGCTGAGGGATTACATACCAATGTCACGACGGGCGAGGGATGAAGAAGCCCAGTTCGCATCTTGGCATGAACGGGGAATCCGCTTCCCACATCTACTTCAGCAAGTCACAGACTCAGGGTATACACACCGAGGTCTGATCTTAGACCGGCCATTTTCCCATGCCCGGTACGCTAAGATGCGGATGTTGCCGCGTGACCATCTATTCTACGGTTTGCAGGACGACTACCCGTGGCCGGTGGGTCTCGAAGTGAGCAACGTCATCGAAAAACATGGCGACGGGTCTGCGCGCCAAGTGGCCGCCGCTCGGTACATTCTTCCACCACGGGACGGCGACTTCTTGCGTAACACCATTCCGACTCTGAGAGCGAAGCTTTCCCTGGTTCACATTTTGCTGCGCGAGGAAATGGGCCTCGGCTTTGCGAATCTCAGCCCGCAAATCTTCGCAATAGCCCATTTGTACAACTGCTTCCAAAAGCGGGGCTGGATCAACGGGGTCTGGCCGGAGATTGAGCTCATCATGGACCGGCATTCGAAGAAGATCTTCTCCACCGCAATACCCACGAAACCAGATGAATTCTACTCGCGCCTACTGCTTGTAGCCGGGTACTCAACCACGTTCATCAAGAAAACTCGGAATGCGGACAAGGACGTTTACAGTCGCCGCGATTTTGGGAAAGCCACCCATAAGACGTGCGAGTTAGAACCACTTCCGATGACGAAGATTCTCCGCGACTATGTCCACCAGAGGGAAACGGGCGTGCGCACCTGGTATCGCATGGACGAGGAGATGGCCAAGCACAGTAAAGTTTCTTCGCGGACGCAGGGTTCGGGCGACCTGAACATCTCGTCGTTCATCAAGGAGCTTCGCAATTCAGAAGAGCTTCCTCGCATTCTCGACCGTCTGGAGTTCGACTACATCAGTCTGACGCTACTATGCAACGAGCTTTGCGAAAAGATCGACGCCGAACAAGCAAGATTTAGCGCCAGCGGAGAGAAAGTTCACAAACAGGCGGACTGGAAGTCGCCTACCAGCGACGGGTTCATGGTTGTGGCAACGCTCCTCGGAGATCTCGACCGCGTTGTGATGAAGAAGAAGCGCAATCCCAAGGGAAACATGGACATGGCAGATACGACTAACGTTGTTGACGCAGCTGTTCGAGTGATGCAAGGCTTTCTGGATGGGCTGAAGAAGTAGGAGAAGAGGCGGACGGTCTGATTAGGCAGTTGACTTAACAATGATACCCCAAATAGCATCTTCGCGGAGTAACTCGGATGGACCGTGATTGGAAAACTTCCCGTACAGCAACGATGCATCAAATATGTGACTTCACACCACCACCGTCGCTTCATGGCTGACTCACTGCACTGATACCAGACCGGCTCCCCACCTGTGTAACAATTCAGCTCATCCCATCTGTCGTGTAAAACTTACTCCGCATCTCTACCACCCGGTTGAGATCCCAAAATCCACATCCGCCAATCACATCGAGGCACACGGGCTGCGGCTGACTGAAGGCTCGGGATCACGACGCCACTAATAAAGCTTCGTATATGCACTCCAGATGTACTGTGCCCGTGGAATGGTGTGATAGTTTCCCGCGCCGGCTGGATCGCTGGGAGCCAGAAGTGTCGAGAAAGCTTAAATTGGAGCTAGAGTCTCGCATGGTAGTGCCAGTGAAGTATCCCAATCTTGCCCTTCTGCAACATGCGTCTTCTCGATCTCTATTCCGCTAGTGTTTTCTTGTTCGGCGCAGCATCTGCGTACGGCTATTCAAGCAATTCGTGTGAAGACTTGGCCTTGGTACTGCCCAACCGCACCTTCTTCCCCGCAGCATCAACCTACAACGCATCTATCCAATCGTACCCTTTCCTTCAACTTCGGCTGCATCCATCATGCATTGTCCGTCCAACATCCGTAGAAGATGTATCGACTGCCATCACTGTTCTGCGATTGAGTAACAGCACCAAGTTTGCGATCAAAGGCGGTGGTCATAACGCGAACGTCGGCTTCAACAATATTGATGATGGTGTCACAATCGACATGCAGAGCATGAACAAGGTCGAAGTCGCGAGAGGAGATCAAGTTGTGAGGGTTGGCGCGGGGGCGCTGTGGCAGGACGTATACGACGAGGCTGAGAAGCGGAAACTGACGGTACTTGGGGGTCGCATTGGCGTCGTCGGAACTGCTGGCTTTCTGACTGGAGGTAAGCTGAGATTCTTGTAACAAAATTATGAATAGGAGACTGACTGATATTGTCCAGGTGGTATATCTTTCTTCAGCCCAGAGCGTGGATGGGCATGTGACGGCGTCGTCAACTTCGAGGTCGTACTCGCCAGCGGGAAGATTGTGAATGCCAACGCTACATCGCACTCTGATCTCTTCGCGGCGCTCAAAGGAGGGCAGCTCAACTTCGGCATAGTCTCTCGCTTTGACTTGGCAGCCTTCCCTGCTGGTCCCATCTATGGTGGAAGAATCGTTTTTGGGCCCAATGCCACCACACCCTTGCTTTCTGCGTTTACCAATTTCAAGCTCGGGGAATATGACCCATATGCAGCGGGCTGGGTCACTGTGCGCTACAACCATACGGCAGCGACGTTCACTCCAGTGAGCATCATGTGGTACACACGGCCAGCGCAAAGGCCTGGGGCACTGAAGGCGATTTTCGAGACCAAGCCACAAGTCATAAATGGCATGGTTGAAGCTCCCATTAGTGAGCATACCAGGAACGCGTCGAGACAAGTGGCCGCAAATCCTCAGCGCACCATCTGGGCAACGACCTCTTTCGCCGTCTCACCGACGATCATTCATCGCATCCACAGTTTGTGGAAAGAAGTCGTCCCGGAGATTGCGGCACAGTACGCCTATGCTAAGCCTGTCGCAGAGATCACATTCCAAGCTCTTCCCGCACCACCTCGCAACGGCACATCACCTAATAGCTTAGGCTTTCAACCAGAAGAGATGCCAGAGAAGGATCTGGTATTCTTGCAGATAATCTTCACATTTGAGGACGCTGCCGCTACCGATGGTTTCGAAGAAGCTTTGATGGATATGGTAAAACTAGTGGAAGGCCTGACGAAGGAAGAGGGTGTCTTCCATCGCTACAAGTATCTCAACTTCGCAGCATCGTTTCAGGATCCGTTGGGAAGCTATGGCGGAGTTGAGTTAGGAAGGATGAGGGAAGTGGCGAGGAAGTACGATCCAACGGGTATTTTCCAGACGCAGGTGCCGGGAGGGTTCAAGCTGTTTTGATACATATGGGCGCAAATGTACGGAGGAGTAACGAGCGTGAAGACATCGCGCGGGCGCGTCGGCGGGGTGGCTGGGACGCGTCCACGGGTGCGGGCGACATCGTCCAAACCCAAACCGGCTAGTGCAGGGGTGAGTCCCATCCATGGATCAAACCTACCTAGGTACGCAACCACGACCGCCGTCATTTCGTTAGAAACTTGCGTCCAATATATCGAATGCGTTGCCCGTTGCTATGAACTCTACGCGAATGTATCAATGTCATTAAATATGGGAAGTTCCAAAGAAGGCGGGTGTCAAGGCGTTCCGCTGAGCCGTCCGCGATGCTGGCGATTTGAATGCAAATGAGTACGTGTAACTGCTCCTGTGCTCTGGGTTCGCAAGGCGATAGTTGATTGAGACCGCACAAGAACGACCTTTGTCAATGATCGCGACTAGTATCGCTTCCAGCCTTACTTTATTACCATACTAAACGCTTTCCCGAGGTCCTCAGATGGTATGGTGGACATTACGAACGACACGTTCTCTCAACTCTTGATACCACTTGCAGCGTCGCTGGCAACCTACTGCTGTCTGCCTGTCTAAAGTGATCGGATCGAGAGAAAATGGAGACAGTGAAGGGCCTGTGGAAGTGGCGGCTCACATTCACTGTCATGGGAATCGCCTAGCAAATATTCTCACTGAAAGTACTCTGTAGCACGGCCACAATATCAATACAACTCTCGGGAAAGCATCTGCCATAAGCAGCCGCGTTGCGCCTTGAGAATTATCTCCTCTCGCCACATCAACCCAGCTGCAGGTACAGATCTTCAATTACAGTCAACCTTGGAACACATCAACAACCACCTCACAAAGTCCACGGGTTATCAACATCCACTTGCAGCCCTCGATCAACCTTTCAATACCTCGATATCGGCAGTCACACCCATACCTCAGCAGTTTACTTCACCAACACCGCGCATATTCACCGTGTCAAGATGGATCCTGTAACCATTGTTCTTTGGGTGTTCGTAGCCCTGCTGGAGATTTGGCTGGTCTTTGCACTCGCCTACGCCGGGCTGCAGAGATACGATGGACGGAACTTCTTCGAACGATTCGTGGCCGCTTTGCTATTCCGGTTGTAGACGACGGAGTGGAACAAGGTGGACGCATGAAGCTGGATGGAGATCACACTTGGGCGAAATGGGGCGTTGCGAGAAATGATGTGGATTTGTCGGAATGTCACGCAGGGTATACGCCGAGGGAATATCACGCAGTATGGCCAGATATAGGCTGGATGTGAAGGAACTCTATATTTGTCACATGCCCCTACAACTGCAGTTCGTTCATCATTTCCTCCCCTGACAGCCCCGCGAGCAAATTCTTGACACTCTCCGTAGCCATCTGTACCCGTGTCTCAATCGTGGCGCTCCCAATATGCGGAACAAGCACAGCTCTTGGCTGCTTCAGAATCGGGTGATCAGCTGTGATATTGGGCTCATTCTCGATCACGTCCAGCCCAGCACCGAATATCTGCTCTTGATCCAGCGCCGTCACCAGTGCATCAGTGTCGATGATGGGTCCTCGCGCGATGTTGACGATAATAGCGAGCTTCTTCATCTTGGAGAAGAAGTCTGTGCTTACGAGATGCTTGGTTTCTGGCGTGAGGGCGCATCCGACAACGACTACGTCGCTTTCTTGTGCGAGTTGGTCGATGCTGTTGGCTGGCTCGATGGGGATGGTAGCGTTCTTGATCAGACCGAAATGATCCTCTTTGACGGGCTTGCCAGGCTTGGACGTCAGATAGATGACCTTTTTGATCCCGAATGGCAGTAATCTCAGTAACGAAGCCTGCGCAATCCTCCCGAATCCCAAGAAGCCGATAGTCGATCCTCGGATCTGAGGGCCAGTCATGAGCAATGGATGCCATGGCATCTGAGGCCATTCGCCCTTTGCGACTTTCGTCATCGACTCTCCACCTCTTCTTTGCGCCATTAGAATGAGCATGATGGTGAGGTCTGCTACGGCGTCGGTGAGACATGTTGGTGTGTAACCGAGACGTACGTCGCGTTTCTTCAGCGCGTTTCGGTCGACATGGTCGGTACCGACGGAGAATGAAGCGATGGCTTTCAGTTGCGATCCGGCTGCTTCTAAGAGTTCTTCATCGACTTTGTCTGTGAGCATGACTAGGATTCCGGTCGCACCTTTCGCATTCTCGAGAAGCCATGGGCGCGGACATGGCTGCATGCACATCGTCAGCAACCCGTCTTCTCGCCAGTGATACCTTGGTAGAGACCTACCTTTTCGGATTGCCATTGCACAACTTCCAATTCTTCCTTCTTCGCATCGAGAAGACTTTGCGCCTCGTCGATTAATTGTCGCGTTACAACGACCTTGGTCTTCGCCATGTTGGTGTTGAATCGTGCAACTGAGGGGTCACCGCGATCGGCGTTAGGCGGGGTAGAGCTCGACTTCGTCGCAGTAGCACCGTCACGAGGAGTTGGTGAGATGTGCAGAGAAACTTGCGATAATCTTTGCATTGAAGTTGGATATGTGTCAAGCCATTACTGTCTCGAGGCATACATCTTTGCGACCTTGCTGCCGGACATCATTGGCCCGAAGCATCCGCCAATAAGCGTTGGAATAGCAAAAGCGAACCCACCTTCGGATGAGTTGTCTCCTTGCTTTCCATCAATATCATGAACCAGGGGATGGAGAGTCGCTTATCAGACGTCGTGGAACTGGAACCTAGCAATGGACGTTTGTGGAAATACACCTCATCGCTGCCCACGATACGTATCGCGCTGGCAAGTGATGCTCCCAAAGTAGCAGGTACAGCCGATGCGCGCCCCACTCCCACCATATCACCTCCTCCCCATCTCTATCTTCATTGACAAGTCTCTTATTCTGCGCAGTAATTATTCATGATCTTTGGTATAAGATAATTCGTCGCGAGTCCATTCAAAAAA